TGTGGAATCTGAAGGGACGTGGAGGGATTGCTAATGATCAAGTATTCTCTTTGAGATTAAAGTATGGCTTTGAGATTGTAATTACTCATTTAAAGCAATTGAGTGGGTTAGCCTCAAAGCCCAGTGTAATGTGTACTGTTTACCTGGGTCAATCTACAATTCAAAGGTCCTGACGACTTTGTCACTGTTCATTTGAAAAGAGGCTTTGCTGAATAACTTCTTCCATCTGTGTCAAGATATTTTTTTTTGCGTGAGCGATTTTTCTTTCAATTTAAATTGTTCACGCTTGATTGTGCTTTACGGCATCTTACAACTGAAGTGGACAGAGGAGAAACCTAATCATTGTATATGGGATGCTCCTTATTATTTCTGCAATAAATGACGTGTTTGTGGGGAAGGCTGTGAAATAAATATTTGAAGGAAGCTTGTCAGCCACATTGGCCTAGTGGGTAAAGGAACCGAGATAGGGCTATATAGAAGGAGAAGGATATGGGTTTGAATCCTGATCTGTGCTGAGTTAGCTGGTATCAAACTAGGCAGCTGTGGTGGCCCCCGCTCAACAGAGGGGAAAATGAGCCAGACTTCGTGTGTGTGTGTGTGTGTGTGAGAGAGAGAGAATGAGACAAGAATGAGAATGTGCCTGTGATGTATTACCTGGTCAAATACTCAATGTCATAGCTGACAGAGTCAAATTGCACACAGCAATGTCCCATAAGTGCTCTTAAGTGCTTCAGCCTGGTTCAGTGGTAGCCCTCTTTCCTCTGAGTCAGAAGGTTTTATCCCCCAGAATAAAATTGGTCATTCGTTTTTGTGGCTATTTTGTGGCACCTCCAGCACTGCATTGGAGAGTCAACTTAGACTACGTGAGTTTGTGTACCAGTGTGGGTCTTGAACCCACAACCTTCTGACTCAGAGGCAAGAGTGCTACCACTGAACCAGGCTGCAGCACTTAAGAGCAGAAGCAAAATGTTTTACAAGAAGAACAACCTGCATTTATCTTGCCATTCACGCGGGGCAGTGGGAGGGCTTAAGAGTGGCGGAGGCTGACTCCAAGCCGGAGGGTGAGAGGAGGTGACTGTAAGCACAGTCATAGAGGAAGGTGTTCAGTTTTCAGATCTTTTAATTAAAAATAAAGGAAACTCCACCAAAATATGATGTCCTTTATACATGGAGAAGGATAAATGGGTGGGAGGAATGAGAGGAGAATAATTTGATATCACAGCCCCAGGAGTGAAGCTTGAATGTCTGTCTCAGTGTCAGCCAAAGCCCAAGCTGAGGTTACCTTCCACCCCAATTACTTTATAATAGAAATGGCATTTCCATTTGTACAATTACTGGAACTAACATGACATTATAATAAATCGGCAGCTGTTATTTTATTTAGTATTGATTCCATTCTCCAGGGGGAAGTGGCCTGGCTGCCTGAGGCAAACAATGGGTTCAACGATTGGTTGGAATGTCTCTCCTCACCCATCAATGCCTCGGGAGGGATTGCAACAGATTGAAGAGATTGGAATTCAAGAGGGCATTAAATAAAAAGAACCACAACTGAAAGAAAGTACACGACTGGTGCTGTGACAACAGCGTTCCCCTGCTAAGAGTTTGATCGCAGAAGTGCAGTGTTTATTCTGACATCAGAGCATTCATTGAGAAGCCAACGGTGTAGAATGGAGATGGAGCCGATCCATTACAAAACAGTTATTCTGTCAATCAGCAGAGTGATCATTACAAGCCAAACACCTCGATAGTTGCTCTCTATGTCCTCTTGAACTCGTGGTGTGCTCACAAACAGACCAGAGGACAAGACTTGCCTTTACATCTACATGGTGTTCACAAAGTCCTGTTACCCCGCCCCCCCACCATATTTTATTTCTACAGTGCACTGACCAACCACTGAAAAATGTGGAAGAATAATGATAATTGTATTTAGAAGTACTTAATTGTATTCAGGGTAAGTGTTTAACTGTATTTAGACATCCAGAGGATCGGTGTGTGTGAGTGGCATCATTTTCATGACAGATAATCCGTTGCCATGTTCGGTGCAACATCATCCAGAACATGGATGGAATGATGAGGAAGTTACCTTGTTACACTCGACTCATCTGCAATAGATTAGAAAATAAAAATTAATTGTAACAAAAAACCTGGGGTGGGTAACAGGACTTTGTGTTGATTTAAAGAAGCGTAGCAGCAGGTCAAACTGATTGCTTTCCTTTGTGTTCAAAAGCCTTCACTAAAGTGTCTCATAGAGAAAGTCTCAACGGAACCCCAATTACCACTATTAATGCACAATTGACATATTAATGTCTGATAATTTTTTCTTTGTACCTTGTTAATAATAATAATCATCCTTGCATTTGATATAGCACTTTATTACACCGTTGAGAGCTCTCAAAGGACTTCACAGAATATATTGTAAAGTGAATTGATAGGGTATTTTGTGGCAGCCAGTTGTGGACAGCAGTGTCCCACAGTTTATAATAATTCTTAGCTGGATAAAATAAACCTCCCTATAGAACTTAGAAACTGCAGGAGGAAAATGAAGTCCAGTGTCCTGATACAGAGGAGCACGGATGACTCAATCGCTAATAATTCAGCCCTAATGGGCCCCAATGGGTAACCTGCCAGAGTTTGTATGTAAGGTTAGCAGCTCTGACAAATGGAAATGCAGTTAGTTGTGTTCTCCTGCTTTTAATGGATGTAATTTTCCCTTCATTAATAATGTATGGCAGGAAAATGCCACACATTGTTGGAGACAGTGTTGAGAAGAGGCAGAGCTGCATGTGGCACATGTTATATCTAACTAACACCACTGGAAACTCTCGCTGGGTGGGGGAGTGGGGTGGGGGGTGGGAGGGGATGGGAGGAGACGTATTCTATTATTTACGACGATTGCTTTGAATGAGAAAAGCTAATTGAAGCCCACGGAGCGACATAATTTGGCAGTAAACTGCCATGTTTTATCATTCAAAAGAGGGTAAAGAAACTGACTTCTCCATATACAAGGGGAGGATGTTCCTATTGACAAAGTAACACTATGGTTGAATAGTGACAGGTGGAAAATGAGAATGTGCCGATGCGAGCATTGAAGCCATTTAAAGATCAAGTTTGCCAATTTCTTTTAAGTCCTAAACAGCAAATCGAAAGTAGCATTAAAACACAATTAAAGCATTAAGCTAATGGGTTGACAGAAGAATATGATTTTCAACGATTACAAGTCAGTATCAGGAGGGATTCAATAAGGATTATCACCAGAAATAAACCTCAGGGCTTTTATTTTGCCCCTATTTGTATTCTTCTTGTGCTGAAGGGGTTGATTCTGGCAGAGTTACAATTCCATGGGCACACACCAGGGTTAAACCAGGTATTTCCCCAGTTCATAATAAGAATAATCATCATGATAATGTCCATACAGTTTAAATCTGTCCATAGAGATAATTTCTAAATAGTTTTCAGTGATGGGTCAGCCAAACCAATAACACTGCCATGTTACATATAAATGGATGCTACTTTTCTTTATTATTATTAGTAAATAATGCAATGACTGTGTGTTTTGTGGGTAAATGCGGCAGCCAATGTCCCACAAACAACCATGAAGTGAATAACCAATTTACATTTGGGGGATTGTCAGCCAGGACACCGGCTTTATATGACTTAGGTCCAAACTGTGCAGCGAGTCTATTTATTAACCCTTCAGGGAATTTTCCATGGTGTTTTTTTTAGTCTGAATTCCCTTTTCAGTTTAATTAAACAAAATAATATCAAGTGGAGAAAGATAAACCACACGGCAGAACTTAGAACCTGCAGGAGGAAAATAAAGACAATTTCAGTTTTACTATGAAATTGTTTAAAATAAATTGCTCTCATTTCAACGAGGAAAACAAAGCTGGAAGTCAAAGTGCAGAAATGTTACCAAGAGAATGATCACAAAACCCTGGCTGATCCTTCAGTAAAATCACACCATGTGCAGTCTGACACCGAGAGACAGAGAGAGAGCCTGCAGGTGCACAGAATGGGAACACAGTTTATCTCTCTGTGTCACTTACTCCAGTGGTGGCAGTATCTCAAACATAGGAAATATTCACAAAGTTCCTCTCTCAAGATTGCTCTCAGTACACGATCCAGGCTTGAGAGTCTGCGGAATCTGCCAATTTAATACCACAGTGAGGTGGCACAGCTGCAGAAATGGAGCTCTTCAAATCAGCCTGAATATCGGACCAATCGATCGCTGACAGAACACCATATCCAGTAAACTCCTGATAACTCGACCCTCGCTTAACTTGTCACAACCACTTAAGTCATCATGCTGTCAATATTGCATTTATTTATGTATTTATAACATATGCCTAACTCGCCACTCGTAAAATAACTCATCATTGAGTTCTTTCCTCCTCGACTGATCAGGAGTTTACTCTAACCAGAGAATCATAATAATATTTGCTGTAATTTAGAAAGGGGACAGTGTGTTTTTGAACACTTCTTGCTTGTGCAAGAAATCTATTGCTATGCAAATACTTGAAAAATACCCTCACTTGTAGCATTAGCTGAGAATCCCAGGTAATAACTGTCTCCTGCTTAACTCTGTTAATTTCAAGATCAAAAAACGATTGTCCGGGTTTCATAAAATCCACTTTTCAGACAAAGGGCATTCATCATATTTGTGCAGACAGCAGCGAGGGGATAAAACTTTGTGCTTCACTGCATGTGATATACGTGAAACTCGCTGGTACAAGACCTCTATCTCATGATTGAGAGAAAAGTAAACTTCCCTAGATGTGGCTGTATTTTACCTTCAACCCTGACTCCAGCTAACAGACAGAGTTGTATTATATACCCCAATATATTGGGGAATCTGTTTTACATTGGTGTGAATTGACTACAGTCAGTTACCCAGTTAATTAGAGTCAGAGTGTCGTGTTTACAGTAAGGATTTATAAATCTCACCACCAATTTCTATCCTCTTTAATCTCTGCTCTTCTCATCTTGTTACCCAATCCCAGGTGACTTGGAAATCTACACAGACACCAGGCCTCCAGGGTTCAACGTCAACAGAAGACGAAGCAGAGCTGTGTTGTACCACTTGTCAGGACATCTACAGAAGCAGGATAAGAGCAAGCTCAAGCTGAACAATGTAAGAACAATCATCCTGTCAGTTGCCAATGTTTGGGGGAAAACTCTCATGTGTACTAGGCTGTAATCTAGATTGAGAAGGTACTAGGGATCTACTTACGGGAATTCCAATAACCTTGTTTTTATCTTTGGCTTTGATTTGTCTATGATGTAAGAGAATGACACTAACTGAGACTTGAGGCAGGAGAGTGCACTGTGACAGGCTACAAGTATACGTCACCCTGCAGATGTTAACTTCAACACACATCTCTGAGTCTGGGATACTGGAATGTGATATCATTTTAATACCCTCCCCTACATCAAGTCATCCCAAGTCTGAAGCTACAGGGCCACATAAACAGTAAAGCTTCTAACATCTCTACTCTGACCATTCATGTGTCTTATCCCCAATATCAGAAGAGGCTCTCTGCTGCATTAATGTGTTTGCTACTCTACCCAACATTCATAGTCTCTCTGAATAAGATTGCAAACTTCGAGTGCTGCCAATTGCAAAAATAAGGTCACTTTCACACTGGGGACATGGGTTGAGATGTCCAGAACTCATTCCATCTCTGACCTCCACAGACACCAGAAAGAAGAGATTTTTCACCCAGCAATGTGGTCTGAGTTCAAACCCATGAGTCACAGATGGGAGAGGGCAGAGAGCCTCTCACCCAATGGATCACTCTTAAGGAAGCCACTTGAAACAGTGGAGCTGTCTTTGTTTTTAAAGTGTGCTGCAATGTTCTTAGAAACAAAGGCATTCTCCATTGTTAATTGTTTAAATCTTTCAGTGACAATTTTCTGCAACGTCGACTATTGTATGTGGTATCTACATCAAGATCAGGTATTTAATACATTTAGGATTCACAGCAAAGTCACAATAACAACAACAACAAATTACATTGTATTTTTCACATCACGAGGACGTCCCAAGGTGCTGGACAGTCAGGGACCTGCACCCAAGCTGGTGGTTGGGATCAGGATGGGTAGAGGGATCATTTATGAGCTTTGGAAAGCCTACCACACACAACATGTCTATGGACCAACCAGGTGTTCATGAAGCAGCAAAGCTTAGTTCACAGATATAATATCACTATTAGATATATTTATTTGTCATTTGCTAAACTATTTTTGGGTGTGTGCCGTAGGTATTTATGGATGTTATCAACAGTGTTTAGCTACGCAGCTTATTCCCAATCCAAGATGGAACAGTAAAACAAAGCAGTTTATTGCAGAAGTCTGGTTTAACTGATGCTGGCTTCTGCCGTTGCACAAGCCGTGAGCTGGAGCACTGGACAAAGGCTGTGGCCGTCAGCTTCATTAATAAAAACAATGGTATTAGGAAAGCCTGAAATTTAAAGCGTCTGCGATATCATATTTCAGTATTATTTTTTAGGCACAGTTGGATGAGGTTCCCATCCGTGCCGCAAGTTCAAATACTGTGATCTGTTAAGAAGCTAGAAAATGAAATTAGCTTCATAGTAGTACTTAGCTCTGATGTTTGGAGTTAAATATTGTTTCAAAACATTGAGCAGTGTTGAAGAAGGGATTAGCGGAATTGGAATTCACGTTCACCATAAACAGCAGTGTATCAGTGAACTCGTTTCAACTGAAAACCAAGAAGCATCTATTTTAATACTGCCAAATCTTGGTATCTATTCCAGTTGATCAGTGACTTTTCATTATATCATGGCATTCCAGCAACAATATTCATATTTGCCACTCTTTATGCCCTCAGGAAGTGTATTTGCATTTTTCTTACTATGTCCACTGAGAGTAAATTTGTAAATTCTCTTTTTACTCTATGTTTTGTTTTCGCTGATTGAAATAGTCTTCAGTCATTCTAATATTTTTTTTAGCTGAGAGGCAACCCCCTCAGTGACTGAACACTCGGCAAACCTGTCTGGGGGAGTTCTGTTTGTCTGTTCGATTCAGTATTACAATGTTTCTGTGTTATAAATTGCAGCGCAAGTTGCTGTGAGATTTGCTTTGTATTGTGTTGTCCCACACGAGTCTGGGGCATGGCTTGGAAGGGGATAAAGCCATGGAAGGACATCTGGGATATAACAGGGGAGCTAGGGTTAGGTTGGGGGGCCTGGAGCATGACAGGGGAGACACGTGGTATGGTAAAGCACTAGGAGTTGACATTTGGATGTTTCAGAATACTGACACAACGGACCTGAGTTGGAAGATAAAAATAACTTTTATAAACCGCACAGTCGCTCACACTTACTGAGTTTCTGTTTACTCCTATGATTTGCATTGGGTGGGGGTGTGGGGGGGAGGCGTCTTGCTCTTTTCACCCAGCAAAGACAGATCTAAACTGGTTAAGAATACTGCCATATTACAATGTTCCCCACAGCCAGTCTGGCCAGTGCCCACACCGTGAACTAAATAGCTTCGCTTTTGTGCAAAAGCACACGGCTCAGAACAAAGGTACCACTCTGCAGGTGTTGTTGGGGGAGTTTAAGACATCTGTCCTTCCCTGAATGTTTAATATGTTGCCTGTGTCACACTCCGACGCAGAAGAAGCTGCATTCGGTGTAAATCATCTGCTGTCATGTTTAGATAGGTCAGATTGATGGCTGGCAAAACCTTACAGCTTTCAGATTGTAGGAAATTTGAAACCTTACAGCTTTCAAATCGTCCTTGCCGCTCTTTTGTGGAAAGTGGGAAAATGAAGGAGAAGGAACGAAAAATCATCGGAAATAACTTATAAAAGCGCAGACGTCTGAAATGCTCGCCATGCCTCGTGTGTAACAGTAACATCCGTGAAACTTTTTTTCTTTCTCCCTCCCCGCCCTCCCCGTCCCCCCCTCCCCCCCCGTTTTATTTCTGTTTAATAATGCATGCTCTCAAAATAAAGGGAAAAACCAAATCAAAATCTGGCAAGAAATCCAGACCGGAACAATCGCACAGTTCCCAGTTTGTGAGTAAAACCTCGTGATGGGTATTATAATGCGCAGCCAGCATTATAACCCTATGTCTATCCCTTCGCAACCAACTGAAGATGAAACTAATCTACTTTGTGAAGTTCAATGTGGAGAAAGTCACAGCACTACAATTGGTCATTCTCTTGAGTTATCTGTTGGCTTCCCTCCATCCCACCCCAGCCCATCCCATTCTGTACTATTCCAGCCTCCTGGACGTTACACTGCGTGAGAGCGCTATATAAATGCAAGTTGTTGTTGTAGCCATTCCATCTGAACCCATCCCATCTCATCTTATCCCATCTCATCCTATCCCACCCCACTTATCCAATCCTAAACTCAAACCATCCCATCCCATTCCAAACCATCCTAGCCATTTAATCTCTTCTCACCCTATCCTATTTTATCCTATCCCATCCCAACTCAATGCATCCCATCCCAGAGGCTTGTTCACATCTCCTGTGTTATAGTTACGCTAAAACCACTACAGCGATGTTTTTGTTTTAAATTGAAATGAAAAGAATGAGCAAACTTCAGCAATACATATTGCAAAGTAAATGGGAAAGGGTTAGTAAGTGTAGGATGGCAGCTGTTGTTTAGATGCTCACACACAGACCTCAGGAGCTTCAACATTTTCCTTTGCCTTATTTTGTTTTTATTTTGCCACATCCACTAGATTCCATGCAGTTGATTTTAAGGTATAACGTTTACATCCAATAGATTGTTGTCAAGTGAATAGGAATAAGAGGAGAGCATTCAGCCCATCAACTCTAACAGATCATGGCAGATTATTTTAGTCTCATTGCCCCATACCCTTTAATACCCTTACTTCCCATGTATTATCTACCTCTCTTTTCAACATCCCGACTTAAGCGGATCCATAATTTCAGGAAGGAAGGAGAATTTTAATCAAGTGAATAACAATAGTATTTCTTACATTTGATGTAGTTTCTTTTCATATTGGGAAGGCATCTCAAAGTGCTTCACAGGAGAGATACACATTAAAATGGAGTGACAGTGTATTTTGTGGATTAACCCGGCAGCCAATTTTGAGAACACCGACAAACAATACTATATTACATTTGTATAGCACCTTTCATGTCGGGAGGACATCCAAAGGTGCTGGATAGTCAGGGATTTGGACCCGAGCAGGGGGTTGGGATGAGGACAGGTGGATAACAGGTATGGTAGGGATAGGAGTGTAGCTGAAGGCACGGTCGAAGAGGAGGATCTTGAAGAAGGCAAGAGAGGGAACAAGGTGAAGGGATTGTGGAATGGAGTTTCAAAGGGTGGGGGCAGTGAGGCTGAAGGCATGACTGCTGATGGTGTGGTGGGGTGGACCAGGTGCAGGATGTGGAGCAGGCCAGAGCCTGCTGAGCAGAGGGAATGGACAGCTTTATATAGGGTTAGCAGGTCGCAGAGTTAGGAAGGAGCAAGGCTGTGGAGGGCCTTGAAGGCAAGGACAAGGATTTTTAAATCTATCCTCTGAGGGATGGGGAACCAGTGGAGCTGGGCGATGGTAGGGGTGATGGGGTCATGGAGCCTGGTGCAGGAGAGGACACGAGCTGAAGAGTTCTGGATGATCCGTAGCTTGTGGAGGGAAGAGTTAGGAAGGCCAACAAGCAGGGAGTTGGCATAGACAAGCCTAGATGTGATGAATGCGTAGATGGAGAGGTAGTTATTTTAGAGTGGAGAGGAGTGTGCTTTATGGCTACAGTATGTCAGTAACACAAGATGGCATAGAGAGAATGTGTTAAACCCAAGTGCTTCAATTATTGCTAACCCACATGTATCCACAGAGCAATCCACATGGTCCACCTCCATTGTAGCCACTGATGGATCCTTTGTGTGTGTCACTTCAACAAAAGACAGGGAAATCATTGAAAAGATTTGCTTCAATTTGTAGAATGTAGAACTATAGGTTTGACTCTTCCACAGTCCCAACAGCTCGTTAACCCTCCCTTCTCTGCATGACCAGATTTTCAGCCAGTTTTCTTTAAAAGATCCAAATAACCTGTATTCATTATAGCACCTTTCATGTAAAATAAATACCCCCAAATGCTTTACAACATGTCAGTTAATAGAAAATGAAAGTCTAAGTTGTTATGGTGCCTATGGAGTTGAAATACAGCAAATACTCTCATATATAGTGACTTTTTCTAGGCTTGCCCTCCGCTTACAATCCAAACTACCCTGCAAACTCATCCATGCCCCTCTGCACTACAAAAACCTGGATCATGTCTTCTATTCATGAACTTTAAGACTGATTTTGTGGGGGCAGTAATTTGTCAAATAACAGAAAGACTTGTACACAATTAGAATACAATTGGGATTGTCCTTTAACATGAGCCAAATTGACTCCAACTGGCAAAACCTTGGGCAAGTTTCCTTACTCCACACGCCTGATGATAATCCCTCAAGAAAAAGAAACAATAATAATTTGGTCACTCAATCCATGACTGTTTGCGGGACACTATTGTACGCAATTGGCTACTATGTTTCGCCCACAAAATATACAGTCAATTCCCTTTACGGTATATTCTGTGAAGCACTTTGAGACGTCGAGAAGATGTGAATAGCACTATATCAAATTCAAGGATTATTATTATTGCAATTGGAGTGTTTTGTAAAGCATGCTGGAAACAATCCCAGCAGTACACAAGGCATGTACATTTGACACACTTGTTTTCTTTTTTGCTTCAAACAGAATGTCTTTGGAGAGAAACCAGCACTACCGGAGTATAAAGTTGCAGCTATTCAGAAATCCAGATTTATTCTGCTCCATTATGGTACTTTCAAAGCTGGATGGGACTGGCTGATTCTCTTGGCAACATTTTATGTTGCTGTCACTGTTCCATACAATGTCTGCTTCAGCGTCAGTAGAGACGATAATTCCGCAGCTTCAAGAAACCCGCCCAGTGTGAGTGACATCTTTGTGGAGATCCTCTTCATGCTCGGTAAGTGTTTAACCTTTGGGGCAAAGAGTAACCTAGAAATGTGCACATCCACTGCAACCTGCTTGAAAACCTAACCCCTAACCCGCCATAAGCTTGTCCCAATGGGATTTTTGAGAAACAGTCACCAAAACGTTAGAGTTCAGGTGTTTCATATGGATTGAGTGAAGGAGCTGTTTGCACCTGTACGTTTCAGCCCAACGTATCATTGGAAGGTTTAACGTTTAATATTTCTTAACTGAATTCCTTAACATGGAATCTCATTAGAATTCCTGGAGCAAAGTCCCGGAGGTAGATTGTGGTAGAGCAGAGGTTGATGTGACACACTTCGGGTTGCTGGAAGGAATCCCCATTTCCACGTTAAGGAATCCTGTTAAGTGCAACAATTTGGACTTTCACATAAGTCAAGTGTGGTACCTGGATAGTGCACTGACATTTATGTCCACACGTCCTACAAACTCACAGCTTTTTTTGTTTAACTGTTGATTTGAACTGCTCAGTTATTGCTTCACTAGACACCAAATGAAACGCCTCGTCTTTGATTGTGAGTCGTCTCTGTCTCTGTAGATGTTCCTGATTCCACCACTGAAAGAACGCAAAAGGTCACGACCTTCAAGCACTTCTCAGTGACACATCGATTTGGGTTCTGCTAGGAAATGCTAACATTTTTTGGATAGAGTGACTAGATCTGTAACCTCAGACATTTATTCTGAAAACCCAGGATTAAATGCACACTGAGAGAGCAAGTAATCATCTTTCATTGATAAGTCTCATAAAGTGAAGTGACTTCTGCCTAGCCTTTAACTCCATTCTAAAGCTCTATTTACCAAAATCTGATCCATAATCATGCTGGTCCCTAGGAAAAGAGCCAGATTAGTGTGGCATGGTTTAAGGTTACTATGTGCACATTGAGCCTGGCCACAATTTGAACTCTAAATATAGTTTTGCACCTTCTCATGCTGGATCTTAATCCAAAGCACTTTCGGCGCTGCTTGCTCTTCTCTTAGGATTGGATGTGTTTTGCACCATTTCCCTGCCAAAAAGGTGCCCAAGTGCATAAACATTAAGTCTGCCTTTCCTGCTCATGAGGAACATGTTTAGCTGCCAATTCATTTTCTACCCGATGGCATCAACTGACATCTGGAACTTCGGGAAAGTGAGGGAAGGGGGAAGGGGGGAATCACAGCTGTTAGCTTCCATGCTGTCATTCCCTGGAAAATGCATTGGCACACTGCTCCCCTGTAAAGATCCTTGGAATAAATCTATCCAAAAACTAGATTCAATGTCATGCACACGTGAAACTAACAGTGCACTCAGCGCTTTGCTCATTTGGAAATATGTGTGTATGAAGCAACTGCTTAGCACTCTACATAAGTGCCACAAAGCACATATACAGAGCTCTGCACACATGATAATAACACATGCAACTAAGTGTGTATACAGAGCTCTGCATGTGTGCAACTAAGGGCTTATACAGCACTTTGCACACATGCAAGGAAACACTGTAGGAGAGCTCTGCTAAACGATGCTGAATGTCACTTCCTTTATATTCTTATTATTAAAGAGATGTTTATGCATGTTTATGCATGCAGTTTAATAGCATTTAAAATGGTCACTTAAACAATTCCACTGAAACCTTTACAAAGAAATCAAAGCTAAAAGTGTAGTACAAATGAGCCATTACGTGGAGCAGCCTGAATTAATGCACTTCACTGCCAATTCATTTACAGCTTGAGAAATTAAATAGGTTACATCAGAAAAGTCTAATCACTTACTTTGCTACCTTTGCTCCTCCATGCCTCACCAGGTTTGTAATAACTTCTAATAAAAGTCAGAATATTTCACCTATGTTAATTAAAATCACTGAAGTGTTACATAAATGAACTTAGTGAAGAAAAGTAACTTCAGAAAATTGCTCAGTGGCACATACAGATCATTTGATGTTGCCAGCTGCTTCAAACTTTGTAAACCTACCAGATCTCATCACTGGGAGGCTCAAATCCTGTTGTAACTTTTTCGTCCATTGGTCTAAATCTGATTTGAGATAGCCCTGATTTCAGGAACAGTCAGAATTGAATACACCCCTTTGACCTCTGTCAAAAGCAATAGCTACACCAACATCGAACAAAATACGATTCTAGACTATTTGTTATTGTATTTGCTGGGAAAGTTTCTTGAACCATAGCACTAGACTCTAGCTGAGGATGGTACCTGGTGTAATGTAGCTGGAGAGGATTCCTATCTAGAAGGGGACAGATCCTGCTATCGTCTACTAAGGGACGATCCCTCTCGAAGTCGAAATGAAGACAGTTCCTGCTATAATCTATTTGAGGATGGTTCCTGATGTAGGCTAGTTGTGGATGTTTCCTGCTGCAGTCTGTTTGGGGAGATCGTTTCTGCTGTAGGTTAGTTGGAGATGGTTCCTGCTCTAGTTCCAGCGGAACTGGTTACCTGGAATTGGTTACCAGTACAGTTTGTGCGTTATTCAATAATATTCCACTGAAATATTAGCTACAGGAGACCTTTAATAAGGTCACTGTGGAGACATCTTGTCTGAATGTGTGCACCACCTTAGAAAAAAACCCAAGCGGATTGCAGAATGGGGCTTTTGGCATCACGGCGAGCACTTTAGCAATGTTATTCTTTCTGATTGACGCGATTGGGTTTCTTTACTTTTTGCAGAATTCCAGTTTAATGTTTAATTCAGGTTACAAAGGGCAAATAGCTGCAGTGACTCCTGGCAGACTCAGTCCTGACTGTAGGCGATTTGCAGTGTGGTGCGAGCCTGGACTGGGGCCTGAGCTGTGTTAAAGAAGCCACAAGAGAATTCTACTGTGGATAATTTTGAAACGACAAGCACAAAAAGCCAAGAGAAAGAGAATCTGTCTGCTACTTCAAAGGGGATTGTTTTAACAGCTGCACACCGATATTATAGCATATTCAATTTCATTTGTTTGCAGTGAAATATCTCATTTCTTGTAACAAAGTGAGAATTGTGTCCCATCTTGAGGATTTTGTTTACCTTGCTCTTTTGTAGAATTTCAACTTTCTACACGATTCGTTGTGAAAACCAAAGCTTAATAATACTATAAAAAGGTAAAGGAAAAAAAGTACTAGTTTTGAAGATACGTCTTTCTAATGTCGCTTCATTTCTCTTTTTACCTCTTGTCGTGCAATTTCTGTACCATGGGGGAGTTTCATGAGGAGAGAAGTCTCACCCACCTCCATTTGAGATTGGCACCTTTGTGTGGTAAAGAGTGTGTTTTATACCTGGTGTAGCATGTCACACAGCAGTGTTCTGACAGTACAGTGACATTCTTAAGTGTTTGAGGTTGTAGGATTCTTTGGATGATCAGGTCAAAGACTGCTCAGTCTTTGCTTTGATAATCTAGAATATTATTCACCCTCCTCAGCACTGCAAGGTCCAGCCTCTCAAACTCACGTTGAGGCCAGGGCACTGGACTCTTTTAAAAAACAGCTTGAAGCCTTCACGGGAGGACACAAGGGTAGGCCCTCTGGAAGATAGTAGATCAAATGGTCCAAAGGGCCTTCTCCATCCGATCCTCTATTGTGAACTTGTGCTTGATAAAAATCACAACATTTTTAAAATGGGAAATCCACCATCACCATATGTTTAGATCTCAATGTTTATTCTCCAACAAAACTATGCTGGGCTTCGGGTCGACAATAAAACAATCTTAATTTTGCTCCTGTTGTCTTGATGTCTTGCAAACCATTAATTTCAGTGCATTCTTTTATCTTACACTCTTAGGCGATAGTTTAACGTGATTTTTATGGAGTGGTCGAGTTTCTCACCAATGATTTTCAATGTCACTTGGATTCCTTGACTGTGGTTAAGCCTATCCTGATGTGATTTATTCAGTATGTAGGATCTAAACCATTACAAAACCATTCATGCATTCAGCAGCGATTGATTGTGCATTGATCTCCAGCACTGGTCATGATGGAGCTACCTATTCCGATACACTTTGAGCAAAGCAAGCCTAGCTCCTACAGTTCTGCTCATTAATTTTGAATGAAGACAAGATTGTTTTTTGCTAGCTAAAGCTTTTCTAAGCTGCCTTCGTTGATTTTAGTGATCATGAAGAGCTTCGCAGCTTGTTGCCTGTTCCTGTCCACTGACCAGCCTTCCTCTGAAGGTCCACGTGATTGCTAGCTCTGCGGTTTCCTTTGTGCAGTCCACAATTCTGTGGTTTCAATGCAGAAATATGCACTGTCCAGGCCTGAGGAGACATTTGACAAACACAAGCAGATCTAAGCCGCCATTTTCATTAGTTTAGTTCAGCGAAGTTCATAGCCTGTGCCAGTCAACTACTTTGGAATCCAAGATGCCAGGTGCCCATTTACCTGGTGAGTAGATAAAGGAGAGTGCAGCAACCCGACCCTATGTAATCATAAATACATAGCCTGCTGGGGATTGTTTTTTTTCCATTCATAAAGATTAACAGTGAAGATGCTGCAAATTGGCGTTGGTAATTCGAGGATCATTGACTAGGATACTAAGAGAAACTCCCATCTCTTTTTGAATGGTATCTTTAATGTTCCCCTGAAGGTGTTTTGTGTGAAAAGCTAGTATATTAATAGTGTTGGTAGATTTGGGTTTGCATACTAAATTCTACTCTTCCACTGAGACAAGGTTAATGGAGTCACTGCTGTGTATAAACCTGAGCCCTACAGACCATCTAGTGGGTCTGAGCTGAGGCAAGAGAGGGAGCATTGTAATTGGCGATAGAACTCGCTTCACCTGAAGGGGTTGGGAAGGGAGATGAATCACTCAGTGACCTCTGGTGGAAAGTGTCAATGTTGAGTGAGGAAGGATAGGATCAGGCTGGACTGGGATGGTTGAATAAGCTGTCAACACTCATTATCTAGACTTACACATGACAAATGGCTACTTGGGCAAGGCGCTAGAGGGCAGCTGGTGGCCTTTGAACTGTGCTTCAGAACGAACCAGTGTCCTCGGGAGAGGAGAATATTGAGGA